CGTTTTAGTCCATGGGGTCTTCGTTTTAGTCCATGGGGTCTTCGTTTTAGTCCATGGGGTCTTCGTTTTAGTCCATGGGGTCTTCGTTTTAGTCCATGGGGTCTTCGTTTTAGTCCATGGGGTCTTCGTTTTAGTCCATGGGGTCTTCGTTTTAGTCCATGGGGTCTTCGTTTTAGTCCATGGGGTCTTCGTTTTAGTCCATGGGGTCTTAGGTCTTAGGTCTTCGTTTTTGGGTCTTCGTTTTAGTAACACCCCAGTTTGCCTTTGGAATCCCGATCACATTTGGTCTCGTGTACCTTCTGATACCTTTGTATGGCGAAGCATCTGAAACCTACCGAGCGGTCATAGCCGGAGCAGTGCCTCTAGCAACTGCTATTCCAAAGGTCATTGTACGCTTGGCGGCGCAAAGAATCGATTTTCTTCATCCAGGCGATTCGCACGTGCTGTTAATCGTACTCTACAGCGCGTCCGCCATCGTTTTTCGCGTTATGCAAGCGGAACTCAACAGCCTTGAACTTTACATCATTCTCAGCTTCGCGCATGGTGCGATAGACTTGCTGGAAAGATTGACGATCGTTATTCGCGATTATATTTGGTACTTCATTTACAAGAAGCTCAAAAGAGACGGGAGAGAATTAATTTTGAAAGCAAATCAATTTCGCTCGCCAAGGAGCATGCGCTTTGTGGCCGATATGAGCATTCAGATGATCTTGGGCGAATCCACGTCACTGATAGCAGCGGTCGGTTTCCTTCAGCTTTACAACGTCATGTATAACGGTAGAGATACTTTGTCAGGAATAACTGAATTTTTGATTCGTGTCTCCATTGCTCTTAGCATCGACTTTGCCTTTAATTCTTTATCGTTTTGGCTGCAGATGTCCTATTTAAATATCGCAGTGGTGCGCGTCTGGAGAAAGAAATGGCGGAAACATATGCTCATTGGTTTCATTGTAACTGCCTTGACTATGCTGTATTTTACCAGTCGCTTGTTATCTATTGTGAGTGCCAACAACTCGTCAAATGGCGCAATAAACAATTCCAGTTGTTCGGAACGCATCTTACAGTCTTAAAGGGCTAATGTCACGAGGATACACAAGGATACCCATATACACAAAACGCTCCTGTAGAGTTATAAAGAAAATCAAACATATTTCATCGGGAAGCGTTAACCATTTTGGTGATTTTTGCAGGCATAGCTTTTTTTTCCAAGTTTCTACCCATGTCCATCCTTTCCTTCTGTAACAGCAGACAACATGAAACACTTTCAATGCCTACATATATAGTCTTAAAAAACAAAACTGGATCATTTATTCTTGGCATTCAAATGATGCCAAGACACGTTTTTAAGACTTTCAAGGAATTTTTAAGTAGCAGAGTACAGAGTGATTAGTTAGTTTTACGGTAATTTCGATTCTGTTAATCCTGCTTCTACTTTTAATTGTATATTGCATAATTTGTAAATAACTTAATTTGATTTATTTTTTAATTGTAATTGATCTAATTTAACAGGGAAGAGCCACCCAGTGGATCTGTTAATAAACCATTATTATTATTATTACTTACTTACTTACTTACTTACTTACTTACTTACTTACTTACTTACTTACTTACTTACTTACTTACTCACTTACTCACTCACTCACACCCACTCGCGCACTCGCTCACCCCGCTTACCCACCTCACCACCCACTCACGCGCGCTCACTCACTCACTCACCCACGCACTCACCCACCCACTCACCTCACCACCACCTCACCCCCACCCACCACGCACCCACCCACCCGCCCCGCGCGCGCGCGCGCGCGCCACGCGCGCGCCCACCCACCCACCGCGCACCCGCCACGCACGCGCCGCGCGCGCGCGCGCGCGCGCGCGCGCCACGCGCGCGCCACCACGCGCGCGCCACGCCCACCTGCCACCCACCCGCGCGCCACGCGCGCGCGCACCACCCGCCTTATCGCACCTGCCCACTACTTTTTACTTACCTTACTTACTTGCTTGCTTCGTTTGTCGGATTTCCGTAGATGCGTTCGATTTGTTCGATATTTGTCCGATGTGTTTTCCGCGAAGATTCAAGTTATGTTTAACAGTGATCGGCCGAAGACTACAGTAGCTGTAACCATCAGTATGCACGTACTGGCTCGAATGCCTAGTTTTGTCAGTGAATAAGGAACTACTCACCATGAATTGAAGTTCGTCATGGAAATCCTAGCCACAGAAACGGTTCAAATTTTATCCGTGCTGTAACCGTTTTGTTTACAAGAGCACTACTGATGGGTCGGAAACAGTCGGAAGGCGAACTTGATCTTGGGTGTCCTGTTGTATCTTTTCCTACAAACTGTGTGACCAACACTAAGAACTAACGCCACGTTTTATTGGTCCTATTAGGTGACCCGATTTATTATGGAAGAGGTGCAACCAGCTTTAGAGCCGTTTAAATCACAACTGGATAGCAAGTCTTCCATTGATGTGTAGGGTGGTATTTGCGAGAGACCTGAAGTTACACGTGGATAATTAATCAAAGAGGAGGCAAGATCTCAAACCAATAAATATTTCAAAAACAAGTACGTTGAACTTAAACAAACATATATGGAACTTTCAAAGAACGCCGATTACTCAAATATCTCAGAAGTGTTTTGAATTTAACAATAACCACCTTTAGATTTGACAACGAAATCGAGTTACGAGTGCTTCTTTGAAATTTCAAGCTCAGTGCATCCCGCGAACCATAACTCTTTCGTGTTGCTAACTAATACACAAATCACCACAGCCTGCGAGCAGGCTCTCCATATCGTGCAAATCAAATGCGCGAGAGGAGACACGCGACTCGCTCGCGTGCCCTCGCGTGGCTCGCTTCGCTCGCCCAGATAGGAGAGCTTGCTCGAAGGCTAAAATCACCCTACCAGCAGAGCTTTTCTACTACTTGCACGATTTTGCCGAAGTCGAGAAGATCTCTGCGTGAATCGTGTTAAATCTTTGCTGAAGATGCGCGGTTTGTTGCTAGGATACAGTTTCGAACCCATTTCTAATAGCCTTGCGCTTGATTCAGCGGGCTCAATTGAGACCACCCCTTTTTCAATAAACGGATACTTGCACTGGAAAAACCAGTTTGTCGAGAGAAGACAAGATTGACTAGTCTAGAACTTCGGGCTGCGGCGACTTCAAAGACTTGGAGAGATTCAGGCAGAACCTCCTTTTGTCCTCGATCAAGCTCTGCTCGCGGGGTACACGTAAATAAGCGCCAGGAATAAGATTGGTGTGATAAGTTATTAGGGAAGGGTACACGTGTTCTTTTTTTGTTTTGTCTTCCTGTCTTAGTTTTTTAACACGTCAAAGCTTATTGGACTTTATTCAGGGTTCGCACAGAGTCTTGAATTCTTGAAAAAGTCTTGAAATTTGCTCAGACCTGGAACAAATCTGGAAAATAGAGATTAAGTCTGGAAAAAAACTTGTAAACAGTCTTGAGGGTTTTTTTAAACTACAAAAAATGCTTTATAAGTGAATTTTTCTCGTTTTGGTTAAATCTTATTCAATCTTCCCCGTATGTTTGCAGCGCACCACGAAAAAAGCTTTGTTCCTGCATTTTTTAAGGTCTCTGTTGATCATCTATTTGATAAGCGTGAGTTTGGAAGAAAAAACTATTGTTTTGAAGAAAAAGTCTGGAAAAAGTCTTGAATTTTGGATCCACAAATTTGTACGAACCATGTTTATTAATAACAGACTGAAAGCAAACGTAGTTTCATTTGCTCTGAAGCACAATTTATTTACGCAGATTGATCATAACGTAACTTAGTACTAGTTAATTAATAAAAGCTGCGTTTATACAAACGACAAGTTAACTGCTGAGTTATTCTGTGTAAAATTTTAATTATAGCCACTGAGGATAATAGTGGTAAAGATGATAGACGTTCAACTCTCTCTAAGACAGCATTATTGGACCAATGCTAATTTTCAGTCCTAGATAGTGTCCCGACCTTGCGAGTTGAAGAAAATAAGAAGATTTAGCAAAGACAACGCGACTTCTTATAAGAACACAAAAGCACGCAAAGGACTAAACACGACATCCAGTTTGCCGATCTGCCATTGGTCAACTCGGTTATAGATCTGCGCGCGCCTACTACGTCACTGTCTTCACGCTGCCTTTGTTTAATTGCCCGGCCCCAGTTGTTCAAACGTTGCATAGCACTATGCAGTGGATAAAACACAATCCAGCGGGCAAGTGTTGGGAAAAGCACTTGCGCTATGAACTGGATAGAGAGCTATCCGGTGGATAGCCTTATCCAGCTTTTGAGGAACTTGGACCTGTTGTCTAAAGACAAGAGACCGTAAAGGTCTTTATAAAGGTCTTTATGGTCTCTAGCCTGCGAAAACATCCGTTTCTCCTCGCTCTTCGCCGCTGTGGACGTTTCGCGCGAAGGAACGTCTGCGACCCATCGACAGAAATTCCATACTGATGACGTAAAATCTGTCCGGAATTCGGTCAGAAGCGCTGATTGGTCGACGGAGTAGTTACATTGTTTTAGCCATTGTTTACGAATGACAGACAAAAGGCCACAAAGGTCAATGTAGACGCGAAGAATCTATAACAAAACAGTCAATACTTGTGGAATATAGTCTTCACTAGAAGAAGTATTTGAGTTTTGCTGGAGCTCGTTGGCAGATGAACACAACAATTTACCAAAACCGGGTCAAAACCGACCAGAAGACATATAAAAGTGGACAAATTTATATTTGGAACCCCATGACAACCGGATTTATTATGTAAACATTGATTTTCGTCATCAGTATATGGAATTTCTGCCGCTGAGTCGCAGACGTTCCTCCGCGCGAAACGTCTCCAGCGGCGAAGAGCGAGGAGAAACGGATGTTTTCGCAGGCTATATGGTCTCTTGCTAAAGAACAACAGGAACCAACACTCATTGTCATTTTTAAGAAGATGACTGTGAAATTAATGGGTCTGTTAAATAGATCTGACCGTATTTTTACAGTACTAGTCACGTTCATGTGTCTTTATCATTGCTTTCCTCCTCTTCTGGTATGGTCGTGTTGGATTCTGTTGCTTCTTTGTCGCACTTGAAGAAGTCTACAAACTCCTCCCAGGAGAGTTGTCCATCTGCATTTTTGTCAAACATGCTGATAAGTTCTTCTGCTTCCTCTCGGCTCAGTTTCTCTCCGCTGTTGCAAACCACGTAAAGTAGCTCATCTGGGGATATGTAACCGTTGCCATCACGGTCGAACTTCCTGTAAAATAACGGCGTCATTGTCCATTAATTTCCAATCTCGTACTTAGAGTCCTCGTGCTATTTGGTCAGCGAGTGGTCGCCAGTAGGGTAGGTACTTCATATATGATTGCTACAGCGTACCGAGATATAGAGAATCTATATCTCGGTACACTGTAGGAATCATATATGAAGTACCTATCACCAGGTGAAGACCACCCGCTGACCAAAAAGCCCGAGGTTTCTGGGTACGGAATTGATCAGTTTCGTACTTGAAGATTTCTCTGCTAAGAAGGTGGGGCACCCTGTGAATAGGTTTGTAATATCAAGGAGTAAAAGATTGTTTACAGCCAAGCAAACTGTAACGAACACGATATGAGCATGAAGTGCGATGGCAAGCAATCTCGCCTCCAGAGCTTTCGTTATTCTTGTCTCATGGAAGGTGCTTGTTGCTGATGACCAAAAGGATAGTGACCTCTTGGAACGAGATCAGAGATCTTACTAGAAATGACGACGGCGAGGGGGAAAAAACCGCGAAGAGCAATAGGTTTAAAATAAAAACAACAACTCTGCCTCACGTTTTTTTGTACATTTCTTTACCGTCGGTGCACGACGACGGCGTGAAACGTCCTAATTTTACGGCGTTTTGTTGTGGACGGCAACACAAGACAACTACCTTCTTTTCCTTTACCTGAATTTCGATACAGTCCTTTATAATTCAACTCCCGAAAAATTTCTCCACCATTTGACGAATTGAACGAGGTGGAGTAAGCGCGATCACGTGATAAAGTTTAAAGCAGGGTGCGTGCAGTTTTTAAATGACGTTTTCGGAGCCGTCACTGTCGTAGTTGCTCAAGCTCCCTACCTATTGGAGAAAGACTGCGAGAGATGGGAGCAGAGAGAAAAGCGAGAAGCACTGTTTCAGTTAGCCTGCGAGCAAGCTTTCTTGATTCGGCGCGACGGTCATTAGTACTGTCATCGAATTTAAAGCAAGGGAACTGTAAAGAGTGATTTACTGAAAATTTTGTCTGCAGGCTTCTCTAACAACTGGCCCTTAGTCTGGGGTTGTTAACTTACAAAGTTTCGATGGCAGTAACGCACGCGCCTTAAGATAGCTGCTTTTTCGAACCTTTGCTAGCTGCACACTTAGCCGTTATCATAGCCTCCCTCTATCAACATAAGTAAATATAACAAGTAAACTAAAAGCCTTAACAAATCTGAACGCTTTTTTCACTTAATTTACGAACTAAAAAGACTGTCCGTGAATTGCAAAACCTTTGATTTCAGATGCGATATACGTCTAAACATAGAAATTGGAAGTTTTAAACCTTCACTTTGAAAAACGAAACAGCAGCCATTGTGTTGGTTATACGCTGGTGATCTCTAGTCAGTGCCGAAATTTTCCCCAGTGGCCAAAGTGCCTTTCGGTTTATATCGTTAAATACGTAGAATGAGACAAAAACCGACAACCATAAAATTCGATCTCAAAGAAGCTCAAAGCCTTGAGTATATTTAATATAATTAGAATTTCGCTGTATATTTGCATAGATTGGCAAGTTCACTGTCTATAGATTATTTTTCTCAAGCTCTTCTTTGGACAGAGTTATCAATTAACACATTAATAATTTACAATTCAAAGGAACTTGCAGGCAGGTGGAAAATGACAAATCAGATATTTGGCCGAGCCTCAGGACGAAAACAACTCTCTCACATTGGATATTCGCTCAAGGCTCATTTTAGTTTGAAATATGTATCATAAATACCACCGCGAAAAAAAAATTCATTTTCATTTCTTTTAGTTTTTATTAGAAGTTGCAATTTCCTTAATGTCTAACGGAAACAGCTTTTTACCGAAGACCTTTCTAAGGATACGTGCACGAGGCGAGCGAAATATCGTCAGAGCTAAACTTTATTTCATCCTCAGATGAAAGAGGTTTCATGCAAAAATGGCTAAACCTAGAGTACAAAGCGAGAGTTTCTAACATATATTTGAAGCATTTTGGTCGTTTTTCTAGTTAGCGTTCACATTCTATTCATGCCAGTTAATTTGCAAAGCCGAACAAAGGTGTTAAAACGCTAGCCCGAAAATTAACGCCTAACGAAAACTTAGAGCTGATCGGTTGAGAGTTTAGCTTATATGTCTGTGTTTCGCGATGTCCAAGTGTTAATATTATGTATGGATTCAACGAAATAAAACACACAAACTCAAAAAAACAGACATAAACATCTGACTTTATCCTCACAGGTGAAAGTAGTAATTTTGCATAGAAAATTTATTCGTATTTGTTTTAAATTTTTTTCGTTGCTTAGCAAAAGTGTATATTTGTCACACGAGTGAGTGCAATATAAAGTGGCGATATATGTTAAAAGGAAGTGGCAAAAAGAGAAAAAACTCGAAGAATATCACATTTTTCTGACCTAGCGTGAAATTTGTTTAATTTACTAATCCAACGTTTATTTCAATCGTGCCATTAGAAAGAGAAATCTTTATGGATATTAGAAAGACAAAAAAATAATAATTTGAGGACACGGTCATAAATTTCCAGATATGTTGTAAGTTTTAATATTTTAAGTCTTGAAACTACAGCGTTTGCATTCTCAAATTTAACCTGAAAGTTCGTGCAAGGCTATGTCTACTCAGCTTGGTGGGTGAAATTAATATGTTGACCACCGCGACAGAAATAACTTATCTCGATTCATTATTCCGAATTTCCTTGAAGCTTTTTCTTGCGTGTATATTTTTTTTCTTCGAATGTTTTAATTTCGATTCCTTTGCCGCTGACAAGAATAATCTTCTATCAAAAAGCTACAAGAGAGGCTGAATTTGAATCTGAAATGGGTTATGGAAGAATAACCTTTTTATAGTCACATCTTGAAGTCTGCGGCTTAATTCTCGATTACTTTGCAAATTTTAATGAGGCATGGCTAATTTTAGTTCGATAATTCGACTGCAGCGAAGAGACGAATAAGCAGAACAAGAAAATAGTCTGAAAAGTAAGATGTATTACATTAGCAGTCATTTCTCCTTTAGAAAAAAACTGAAAAGAACCTAGCAGAATTGTTACTTGAAAAACTATGGGAAAAGGCTGGAGGAAGCAGCCTTTAAGTGCCTTTTAGTTGTCAGATGGATTTATTTAGGGAAGTGGACTTTATTTATAGTCATCGGTCAAAGACACATGCTAGCTAGTGGTCGTGTTTTTGCTTTTAGTTTTTCATCATGGGAGACAATTTATTCAAAATATTCATGATCTTTTGCTAGTTATCAATACAATCTTCCTGACAAACTAAACATTATGCAGAGCACAAATTCAAAGAGTTGCAAGATATTGAATAAAGGTGGGTAAAAGCAGAAATTATGGCGCACTTACTTGAACGCCTCGCGGAGAGATTCATCAGCGTCCTCCTTCCTCGTATCTTCAAACTTCTCCATCATGACCATGAATTCATCGAAATTAATTTTATCCTTCTCCTCCTTATTGGCCGCCTTAAGAACTTGATCGACATGACTGCTGGTCGGGTTGTAGCCAAGGGATCGCACCGCCGTTGGAAAATCAACGAAGCTTATTTCGCCAGTGCGGTTGAGATCAAACACGTCGAAAGCGCGCCTTAAAGACTGTGCGTCTCGCGATGAAGCTGCGGCCATGTTTAAGCGCAACTCGGTTACTGAAATATTCTCTCGCTGTAAGTTGAGCTCTAAGAGGCAAGCGCAAAAAGCCCACGAAACCAGCTGGACCTCAGGCCTTGTAATTCATGGCTGACAACGTTTACAATACATAATTTCCCTCCTGAAAATCCAGCCAGATGATTGGCTCTTTACTGCGTCCCAACCGCTTTGAAAACGCTTTTGGATCTGTAACAGTGAAGGGCGGAAAGATCTGGTGACGAATTTGCAAGGTGGAGAATAATTATATACTCTTGATTTGCATAAGATCACTAAAAATAAAACAGACTGACATCTACGATATTCCAAAGGCGAGTGAGATTCTAGTGAATAACAGCTTTGTCACGATTAAAAATAGCTTTTTGCATTTACCATTTTAACTTGTCACGTATAATAAGTACTAATTGAGAAGAATTTAGCATAAGCAAACAAAGTTTCATTTCGTCGCCATTCAGATTTAGGTAACTGGAGCTGAATGTTTAGAATTTAAGCCAAAACATATCTTTGTAAGAATATTCGGCCTTAAGAGTGATCATTTATCCCATTTGCTCACTCCGTAAGTTGAAGTTTGCCGTTTCTGTGGCGTTGGTCGTTGAACAGAAGCATCCCCCCTTTTAATTGAGACTAAATTAAACTTTGTATGGTAGGACCTCGATGTAACGAACCCCTGTATAACGAAGTCCTCGGTATAACGAACCCCTATATAACGAAGTCCTCGACATAACGAAACCCTATATAACGAAGTCCTCGACATAACGAACCCCTATATAACGAAGTCCTCGGTGTAACGAACGATTTTCTTTACCCCAATAATAAAATATATGGAAGTGAACCTCCATGTAACGAAACCTCGTTATAGCGAACAGATTTTGCAAGCCCCTTGTCCCTTCATTATATCGAGGTTCCACTGCACTTGATGATGAAACCATTTGGCTCGTGATTTTATCAAACTTTATATAAAAAGATTTGTAGTGGAGCTGATCACTGAGCTGTCGCGGCAATGAAGAAAAGAATGGCGAGGTTGAAACTATATAGGATTCTTGGTTTGCAACCACGTGAAAAGGCGGACGTGTTGGGGGTCGATACAATAAAATTTTTTCTCGAAGAATTTACATGAAAATGGAATTCAGTTTCCAGAGGAGAGAAATGCTTTTGTTTTTGACCACCAACGTGGCAGCCTTTACGTCCTCTGAAACTTTTTCGCTCTTACACCAAGTCACCCAGCTACTTGAAGGTAGGGAAAAGAATAATAATGATAATAATAATAATAAAAATAATAATAATAAATTCGTATGTTATACTCCTGGAATAAGGTAGACATCAAATTTGGCAGGAGCGGGAGCTGGTATAGGAGATATTTTGTGGAAATAAATATTGTAAATCCCATATGGGCTATTTGCTTTGCTAATTTAAATCTTTGACTTTTATTTATTTGGTTTAATTTTTTTTCCGACTTCAGTAGAGGCTCTTTCAGACAAAAGGCTGGTAAGTATTCATGCAAAGGCAACTGGGACTACTTCTAAAAATCTTCAGAGATCGTTAAGTAGCGTGGATTCGTCAATGTGACCCAATCGCTGTTTTCCAGTTACAAAAAACATATTTACAGTCGACTCCCGAGCTTTTAGGAATCCGGAATCTGGCTAACGATTGGAATCCGAAAACAAGAAATCCAGAATCTGTTATCTGGAATTCAGAACCCACATTGAGGAATCCAGAATCCAAGACAGCACACGCGATCCCGTCTATTTTGGGAAAGATAAAAGCACGTAGTGAAGCACAATGGGTAATAAAATTTGGTTATCCATGCATCCAATAAATTTTGGTCGTAACAAAATCGTCTGTCCGCACGTCATTCTAGTCTGCCCGTTCATATCAGGGACTTTAAGATCCAACGACGCGGACGGCAAAGAGAACGTAAAAAAAAAACAATAAGTTTTATAAGAGAAACGACAACTTTGCACGTACATCACGCTTTTCTGTACATTTCTTCGCCCGTTTTTGCACGACTGCAACATGAACAAGCGACCACGAAATTTTATTTCTCTTTTTGAACTTGGGTTCGCCTACATTTGACAAAGTAAGTGGGTAGGAATAATTGCGATAGAGACTGAAAGAACGCAAACTCTTTTTTTAAGCGACGTTCTCGTTGCCTTCGCGTCGTTGCATCTTTAAGTCCCTATTAGCGGATGTGAAACGTTTAACTTGATATTGGACATCCATGTTATGGTTCATTGGCAGCTATGAAAATAGGACACTCGCTGACCTGTTCACATGATTGTATCGCGGGTTCAGATGATCAACTCATTGAGCTGGCGTTTTCTTAAGTTCTCTGCTGACCAGTTGTTGGTTTTCAATTGATCGCAGGCTCAGAATTCAGTTTGCTTGTTGCTTACGGCGAAAATCAAATTACTTCAGAAAGACCTTTCTCAAAAGATCGCACGAGAGCTTCACTTTTAGCCTTGGCTAAATCTATACATTAAATGTTCTTGTTGTTGTTGTATTCACTGGACGTATTCCGCCATGTTCCTGTTTTTCAAGAGTACATGTGACTAATGACTAATTCGCGGTTTACATTAACATATGAAGAAATTATTCTAACTGAAAAAAATCAAAACTCTACGAAAAACAAATATGATTGCGTTCCGGGGATTAGACTTCAAATTTGTATTCAACAGAGCTAAACCGTTTGATACAAAAGTTAAACAGCTTTCAAGAAACTCCAGTTGAAATCCTTTTTATTCTTATTCATATCCAGATATTATTTTTTCCATTCTTATTTGCCTTGTTACTCTGTAACAAAAAGAAGATGTTCCTTTTACATTTTGAAGCGGAAATTTTATATTTAAATCAACTCAATGGATAGCCTTTTTAACGGGCTGCGTCAGGATTAAACTGCGTGGCGTCAGGTCAAACTAAGTCAAATTAATAGACCGCGCTCGGTAATCGAATAGAAACCACGATAACAGACCCGATATATATAGTTGTCAGCAAGACAAAGAACTGGATTAGTAGAATAACGTGTTAAAGAGCGTAATATTTCCACCAACGTTAGGATCACCTCCTTATGTTTTTTTTCTTTTTGTTTTTATGACTGGCATTTGAAATGAACTAGACAAGGTTCTGACTCCTTAGAAAATTTTAGTCTACAGCTGATAACGCATGTATACATAATATTCTAGCAAGGGGTCCCAATCCTTTCTGTCTATTTTAATAACTTGCTTTGCTACAAAACTTCTGAGTTTGAGTCGGAATCAAAGTTGCTCTTTTTCGAACCGGAATCATATTTTGTTTCTGCTTCCCTGGTCTTATCGACATTGATCATACGTCTGGCTCAAGGAAACGTTTTTTGACAGGCAATTACAAAACCTGGCGAATCGGTGAAAACGACGTTTGGTTGCATTGCCGAAATAAGTAAATTACACTTCGGCTTCCTGTTGTTTTTCATCTTAGCTGCGTCACTTAGACTCTCAAATAAGCTGTTTTCAAGAACTTTGAGGCATGGCCTCTCTATCCCGCTCTTTTGTACCATTTTTTCTTCTTCTTCCTGTGTTTGTAATGATCTCAAAAGATATGTCGAATATCCCTTCAAGCAAAGATAACATTACCGTGAAGGTTAGGCAGGCCTGCATGACAAGTTGAATCGATAAGCTTGTACGTGCATCACTTTTATCAACAGAACAATCGCTTCTTTGATTACGCATTTATTACGCATCTGTTTCTTTCAAATGTAACAGTGTCCTGTCGCTTGCGCGCATGAAACGTCTCCCGTGCAAAACAAGAGAAGATCCTCTTAGGGCAAAAGCAATTTAGGCAGTCGCTATGGAAACACACAACTAATTAAGGAAGCATAGTGAAAGCCCTTTGAATTTTCGTAACAAGACCAAGCGCCTCAGGGTATTCCGTGGGTTTAAAATTCGGACACAACAGATACCTGCTGAGAAATTGAAACAGAAATCGCGTCGTAAGCTCTGGGTCCAGCGCATGTGAAGTTTTCAACTACGTTACGTAATCCAGGAAGGATAGAACAAGGATAGAAGTCCTATTTGCGACACAATTAGCACATTGAAGGCGGCCGGCGAGGACTCACCTTGCCAAAAGTAGAATAATACGTCGCTATTTTCTCGCGTTTTAATAATTCTATGATCTCGTCCCTACTGGCCGCGTCGCGATGACCGTGGAAATATCGCAACTGACCAGCGAGGAGTTTCGAATCATGCGAACAGCGTTTGATATTTTTGACAAAAATAGCAACAACGAGATCGACCAAGACGAGTTTGGCAGCTTAATTCGCGCCATTGGTTTTAATCCCAGTAATCGGGAAATTGAGGAAACCCTTAAAAAATTTGACAAAAATGGCGATGGGGTAATCGATTTTCAAGAGTTCATCTCCATGGCCAAGCATTTTGAAGGATGTAGCAGAGATGACATGGAACAGACATTACGGCAGGCCTTTAGGTAAGTTTGCCCTTGCAGAATCAACTCCATTAAGAACGCAAAATATTCTTATTTTACTTGATTATAAAGCGAAGTCCAAGTTAGTTGACCTAAAATTTATTTTTACTTCCTCGTAAGTAAAGTAATAAGACAACTAGCTGTGATGAATATTTTGTCATCTAAGTCGACATTGTGGCTCAGATTTTGGAAAGCTTTTTTATTTTATTTATTCTGAGTGCCGGGGGTGGAAATGCTTCAATTTTGCTTAATGCCATATTGACTTTGTAACAACCGAGGTTTGAATACATCACGTATAAGAAGACAATAGAATATTCTTAGACAACCGAAAGTTAAGCAATTTCAGCGAGATGGAATTTCGAAGTTAAACTTTATGAAGCTTCTTTTTGGATTTCAAACTAACGCCGGCTTAGGGTAAAAACCTGCTTTCGACCAAACTGTATTTTTGGTTATGTTGCCTTAATGTCAAATTTATTCATACGTTATTGATAAGAAGGACGCCCAAGCAATTTGGAGGAGGCAGGCTGGCTGTGTTCGTAATATGAAAAGAAATCTGTCTCTGAAAGCAGTACGTATTAAAAGCAATTTTAAGGTTGGCGTTTTAAATACTGAATCTATGTGGACATTTGTATGTTAATGAGTAATTTGATGGGTAGCGTATAAGAGTATCCAATTTTATAGACGCGACGGTTTAGTGGGAAGGAACACTGAGTTATTGAAAAATTCAGTAAAACGATTACAAAAACTATACTTGAGCACAATACATTATTAATTTTATCTATTTTTTCCCCTTGTTCATCGATTATCAAATGTCGTGGTCAATTGAAATACTTTGCCTAAAATTCAGAAAATATGGAGAGCACTCGCTTGATTAATTCTTCTTATAAATTTGGCAGCAGCTCACCTCAATCGTTTCACCTGCTTTGTCTAATTTCACATGGTCTGTTTCTCTACAAACATATTACTACAAACTTCAATATCTCAATACTTCATGTTTTCGCTATAACAGATCGTCCGATTCGAGTTAGATTTTAATATATTTTTTTTCACTGTCGACCCGGCTCGAGCCTGCAGGTGTTTATTTCTTAACACGCCATATTATTTGATATCACGCTTTCTTACATCCTGCCCTATTTTATCGCGTATTTCCCCTACAGGCAAAACCATCAAAATAAGTAAGAATAATTATGAATAAAACCAACTTTAATTTCAATATCCGCCACCAGGTAGAAATGTGTTAAACGCACTTTAAAAAGAAAGACTAAACTTTTCACAGACGCGAGTTTCTTCATTGAAACGCGAAGCACAGCCGAATGTTTTCGCAGCTGTTTGAAGTTTTTCAACACGTCAACCGGGGATTTGTTCTTTTACATCAGTAAGAAGGTTACTTCATGTTTCATAAAAAGAAGACTTAGATAAATTTTGCCACACCGAAATTTCATGTCAGTAACAGCATACTAAAATTTATGCGCCATGCCTTAAATATAACACAAGTTGTAAATTAATAGATATTATATTGGGAAACAATTTTGCGGTTACCAATGAATAAACACCTTCACTGAAACAATACAACACGTTGGTGCAAAAATCATTTAACATTAAAGAGAGGATTAAAAACTAAATTCGAGCAAGGCAGTTAAAAAACTTTGACATTCCTACAAAATTTGGGGACGATTGTTTTCAGATAAGAATGTATGCAATCTCCAAGGATGCTAGGGTGTGTCTTCTCGTTATCTCGTACAAAAACCTAGGGGAAGCTATTACTAGTTTTGGAGGCAACACCAATACTCCTTAAGGTGGCTGAACACGGTTTTGTCAGTTTGTGAGTATATGTCATTTGGCAAATCATAGCAAGAGAAAGGTTGCAGCTCATCAGCTGAAACTTGGAAAGTAAAAAAATATACTGATGAAAGATTTTGATTGACAGGTAAATTTGACGTTTTCGAAGGTTCCATGGCAACATGAACGATTGAAAACAACCTCAAAATTTTACTTTTGCTCCGTTTACATAAAATTCGCTCATTAGATATTCGTATAACCTTGCACACAGCTTACTATAATTAATCATTACCATTTCAAACTTATTTGACCAAATTTTAATAGAAGAGTTTTAGATAATCAATAATATATTGTACTGCAATTGTTAAATGTGTCACAAAATTCGTCTGTTCAACTTCCATTTTAAAGTTCTCATTATTTAAAGTACGATAAAAGTAGAAATTCTACCAAATATCACAAAATTTTATTGAGTAGATTTTGAGAAATCGTCTTCTGTGTACCATTGCTTTTTTCGCGATCATGTTTGTTTGTCTAATTTAAAACACCAGCCATTAAGCGAGTTACCGCTGACCTCCCGCAAAACTGTGTTTTAGCCACCTTAAATAGGATAGATGTATGTTTTCGGTACCGAGTGGTGTCACACAGGGAGACATGGGAAGTCCCTTTTTAGGACTCCCATCAGGCCGGTCTCAATCACTCTCTAAGGTGGTAACAACGGCTTTCTGTGTTTTCGACGATTTCTACTTGGTGATAAATCAATACTACACTTTGTTTAGTTGATGCTATCGTTATGGCATCCTTTTTTAAGTATTAATGAACGCGCTTGCGTGAATTGATCAAACCTTTTTATTTCTAAGGCTTACTTTTCGGTTAATAAAATGAGCTGTATGTAAAAAGTGAAAGAGAAATAGCGCAAAATTACCACTTCTAACCAAATCTTTTAATTCTTGAGGTTTAGAAGAAAATATTCTCGAAGCTGAGAATGTATCGATCAAAGCTGTGTAAATCGACCTGAATCAGTGCATGGAACCTTGCGTTTCATGTTTTTATCTCACCTATTGTATGGAATATTTGTGAAAATCTTCAATAAGAAATAAGAATCGCTATATTTCAAAGACTGCTACACAACGACCAAGAATACTAATGATCGACAACGTACAGAGCGAAGGCAGCTGTAGTGTCAACTATTACAAGTTATATCTCTGTTAACTCCCGATCTTAACGAGTTCCGTGACCACCATTTTTCATTGTCGAGTTGTGATAACCATGGAATAATATATAATTATTTTGTCAAATGTTAAAGCGTGGCAGCTGGTTCAGAGCCTCCTTAAATTTTCAAAAATCTGTTACTATGAAGTATAGGCCACTAAGGTAACAAAATCAGTGTGTGGTAAAACGGTTCACCGACGTTTAAAAGATTTTGGCTGTAGTTCTCAGACCACTGATTAAACTACTGTAAGTTTGCCAGGGGTAACAGCATGTGGTGCTTAATGGAGGTTGCCGCTCAATATAGGTTTATCAGAATTAGCATAATATGTAGCAAAATTATTACGGCCTTTTATTCTGAAGCAAACACCTTTAAAGGCTTGTGACAAGTTTAACAGGAGACACAGCTCCTATTTTACTGAGCAAAAGTATAGTAACGGTTTCAAAAAAGCAAATTCTCTTGTCAAATTGCTGTGATGATAAAGTTCTCCCAACTTAACACGCACATGCAAAATCATAAACTGTGGCGCCAAAAAGTCTCAATGGATGTATATACTGAACTGAAACGTTAGAGTAAACGTCCATAATCCATAATCAGTTGCATTTTCAAAAGGTGTCGAGACCACGGCTGTCAGATAAAGGAGCCGCTTTATAGAGGTGTAAATTACAGAGTATTCTTTTTCAGTATTATTGTTTTCAAAGAAATACGTGGGTACAAAATAAAGCATTACAACTTTGGTGCGATGATACGCGGAATAGTTCCTTACATAATATTACTTATGCGCTATTATTTTAAGAGGGTCTCTACGGAATTAACCGTCTGCAACACTCTCTCTAGTTATTACAGGGCCTTGGAACTTGCTTTTGTCCGAAAATATTTCAAAATTCTGTTTGGGAAGGGCCAAGACAACCAGTTGATATTTACTTTAACTCCTGGACTTAAATTTCCACTTACTGAAAAGGTCAACCGTCAAAATCGGAAAATATTAACCGTCAACGTAACCGTCAAAGCTACAACCCCATTGAAACCCTCCCTTCTTTAACGTATCGAAAGGTTAGTTTCCAACGACATAACAAAGTTATTCATGATCGACAACATAGAAAGCAAGTAAACTTCAGTTGACTTCTTAACTGTCGTCTACTTAGAAAGAAAAAGAGGAATGGATGGATGATTTGGCTGGAAAAAAGAAGTAACCATTTTGTTCAAACAATTAGTTAGATGGTCACGACGTACAAGCCAACTAAATTTAACCAAGGAGAAGCTTTTATTTGTTTGTAAAAGCGGGCGAGACGACATAAGAATGATTTTCGACTTAAATGAGAGTAACTTAGCTTCCCTTTAAAGGGGGACATACAAGGAGACGCTCCAGCTACCGTAAACTGCCGTTTATAAGACCGTAAGGGTTTTAGGAGGGCAAGAGATCATATGCGCTGAATCGTGAAAGCGAGTCTTCCGGAAGTCAACCAGTTTACCGGAAAATGTTTCCGCATGGTCCGCATAGTTCTAAAAATAACTTTTTTTGAATCTAAGATATCCAAAAGGCGTGACTGGTAGACTCCCTCTCTGTCACAAATTATTTGTGATATAACCAGTTCTACGTAGCTTTAATTCCTCACTCCCTTGAAAGTATATTTCTTCACATGTTCATATTTAGAATTCTTTACTCTGTTCTACACTTAAGGAATTCATCGACATCAATTCTCGTAAAAATTTCGATGATTGACACTCAATCTACACACTGGATCAGCTCCACGACTCCGAACAACTATATAGTTCCTAGACTCTGGTGCAAAGTTCAGTTCTCAGATCACGTGACGAGTTCCCCGTCACAATGACGCAATAATTTTCTAACACTCTCTGTTCTATTATGGCTCTTGAGGAGGGCTAATAATAGGAGGGGCCCATATCCGAGGGGTCTCAATTATAACCGGACTAGAAAAGCACTTCAAACGAAACAAACTAAGGCTGTGCTGATGAAAATACGTTTTGCACTTGCTGGATGTTTTTAAATTAGGCTTCAAAACCTCATAAACAATTAAATTCATTTCAACTCTAGCCTAGCTAGAGGGGAGCTTATATACCGGGGAAGTCTGATATCCGGGGGAAGGCTAATATCTGGGGTCTTAATATTGTATGTATTATTTTGCTTACAGGTAGATGGGCCAATAACTGGGGGACGGGGGGGGGCTCTATAAGCAGCAGTTTATGGTATTTTGCGTGAGTAATTGTGATATCTCCTGAGTAAAAAAAATAAGTACTATTCTAAAGTTATTTTTGGACTTTAATAACTGGTCGGTTACTAATGGAGGGTGACCGCTTATATCGTGTTGTCAACTTCCGTTATTTCTTGCGCCCTTGAGACCCTGAAACGCACTTACAACTTCGTACAATCAAATACAGGGACCGCTTTGTAATACGCTGTAATTTTTCTGTATCTAGGAGATAACTGATATTTACATGTCATATTTTCATTTGTGGATGTATTAATTGCGTTTGCCATTACCCTGCGCATTATTCATGTAAACATCTTATCCATCCTAGTAATTCTGCCCACATACTGCTAAAAGATTACATAGATGTCATCATCATCATCATCATCATCATCATCATCATCATCATCATCGTCATCTTTATCAACAGCAACAATAACATCATCATCATCAACATCAACAACATCAACATCATCATCGCAGAAAATCAAATATCGGGACCACTATTTATAATCTTTAATATTTATGTACCTGCCTGATATTACCTGATATTTATCGATGTAACGCTATTTGCTTTTGGCATGTAGACCGTTTATTCGTGGAAAATGTGACTCATCCTTGTAATTCAGCGCCCTGAGGCTGCTAAGAAAGATTACAATAAACCGTTTTCATCATCATCACAATCATCATCATCATCATCATCATCATCATCACCAAGCTTTTCTAAAATAGTGAACAAGACATGATAGGGACTTATTGCTTCTTTTTTCTCTAGGGTTTTTGATCGTGATGGTAACGGCTACATCTCTGTGGACGAACTACGTTATGTGGTAACGACTTTTGGAGAGATTTTAACAGAACAGGAGGCTGAGGAACTAATCGCCATGTTTGACAGAAACAGGGACGGTAAACTGGAATATGAAGAGTTTGTCTCGTGGGCCAAAGCTTCCTTGGCAGATTATTTGAAATCTTTATAATTTATTTACGTTCTTTTTGTATCTCACCGCCCTGTAGTAACCGTCAGGGAGGACGTACTTCATGTTGACCTTGTTGCTTGCTTTGCTTTTCTACTACCCAAGACTACTAGAGTAAAATATATATAAACAAGAAAGAAAAATGAATATGCAGCCTAGTTCCTATAGGCGTTCTCGGCTTGGTCAATCTTGGACTCCTTCGTGAGCTGTGACGTCATCCACCCTTTCCCAGACTTCGAGCAGAGACGAAGAAAGAGTTAATACCTAGGGACTAGCCCGATGAAGATAGTAAACAGTGTGAAATGTTTGTTGCCAGCAAAAGACATTGCTTGTAAAGAATATTCTTTCATTCGCAACACCTTTTCCGGGTGTTCGCTATTATAGCAATTTCTCTTTTTTTTCACTCTCACTTAGAGGGCACTCTAAGTCTGTGTGATCAGTTATCTTCGTACAAACCAATCGTGAGGTAAACACGGCTGGATACATTGGCCAAATTCTTTTTAGCATATTTATGGACCGTGACGAAGTCGAGAACAATAAAAAGGCAAAAAATGAATGAGGCGAATATCTAGTTGTCTTGGTCAATAAGGGATTTATTATATGGCCATTAAAATAACTTTTTTGCGGGACCAACGCGGGAAATCCCGAGCGGGAAGGAAGGGCTCATCTTGCCCACATGAGTAGCCAATCATGATCAGAACACACTATTCACTTCATCTTGCCCGCAGGCGGATTCAGCCACATAACTATGAGCAATTATTGAATGAGCATGAGCATGATGTCAAGAGTAGAAATTATTCACGATACCGCCATCTTTGCACGCGCTTTAGGATTGATGGGATAAAAGCAATGTTACGAGGTAATTTAGGGGGCAAAAAATAGGTAAAATTTGCCAATGCGAGAAATCGCGGTCGACTTTGTTTATCCTCTCAAAACGAAACGACGATTTAACAGTCACGCAAAATGTACGGTTTGAGTTTCGACAACATTAACGTCATTCTCCACGGCGTTAAAAAAAAGTAACAATGGTCACTTCGACCCATATAAAGTTGTCATTATCCTCTTTGATATAAAAAGTTGTTCATTTTCTGTTGTCAAGGTAAACAATTAACATGCTCCCTGAGAAACCACGTGACATCGCTTTAATCCCATCAGTCCCTAAGCGCATGCAAAGATGGTGGGCATCGTGAATAAGGTCTATCATGCAGATGGTGGAGGATGTTATCCACCAGGGCCCAGTTGATAAAAACATGGTTAGCGTTAACCAGCGTTTAATACCTTGACAACGTATTGGTTTTGATACCGCTTAATCAATGGTTAAAGCTAACCATGCTTTGAGCAACTCAGCCCATAAAAGAAGGTTTAGGTGATTAACATCCTCCGAGATTATACCATCGAATCGATGGTGTGTTGCTCGCATCTTCCATGTATGGTGAGTGGTTATGAAGAATTAGCCGAGAAATAGGTCACTTCCGAGTTCCAAAAACCCTCACTTTCAAAATGAGGCTATAGGTGCACAACCTTTTTTGTGAAAATGAGTTTTATTTGCATGAGAATGAAAAATGATTTCCATATCAAAGGGTGATCACCTACCCTCGTTTTGAAACAGAGGCCCCGGGGGAACTCGGAAATGGCCTATTGGAGCCAATCAGAAAGGGAGAAATATTTTGAATGAATAATAATGTGAGTTAATGAGCAGCAGCCTTGTTCTTCGGTATTTGCTCAAATAAGCGCCCACATCCTAACATTAGCGCATCCCTACAAGCCCCATTCGTTACACTCACTTTTAAAAAATTAATCTTTTTCTTCACTGCCATCAATACGGATAGCACTTTCTTATACGTTACCAGTTCCAGCCGCCAGCACTGTCTCAAATGCTAAAAGATTTGCGTTATCTCCGAAAATGTTATTTCAGTTTGTTGTAGAAAAAGCTTTACAAGTTTACCGAGAATAAGATTCTCCTGTTTCTGGCGCCCTTATTTTTATAATTAAGAATTATCCCGGCCATCTCCTAGCGCTTCGAGTAAAATTATTACGGTGCAATTAAAATCGTACTGGCCTCATTAGGGACAGCTAGTCCCATAGGTTTAATTAGCAAAATAACAAGCTTGCACGTGCAGCACACCTTTTTTGTACATTTCTTTACGGTAACTGCACGCGGACTGCAACGTTAAAATGCCTAATTACACGAATTATGGAGGACGCAAACAAGCCCTGAAGAAATCGTCTTCGTTCTCTTTCTGAATTTGGATATGGTTCTTAGGAATTTAACTCCAGGTGAGTTCTCTTACATTAAAGAAAGTACGTGAGATGGAATAATCGCGGGAAAAACAATAGAATACAATGCAGTTAGTGCAAAATAGCGCGTCGTATTCTACTAACCTATTTCATGGATTCAAGTAAAAACTCTCTAACAGAATAGACTGCTTACTGAGACGATTTTAAATAACATAATGCATAAGTTCCTTCTTGAAGAATGTCACAACGTTTGTTAACTCAGTGTGCCTTTCGGGTAAAAAGTTCCACAGTGGAGCGGTCCGATAATGAAAAGACCTTTGGCCTGCGGCAGATCTCATGTGTCAATCTTGTTCGTGTTACGCGTGTCTCTGCCGTGAAATTCGGACCTCGCTGTTTTAAATTTTTTGGCCAGTTTGAAGCCAATCCCCTTAAGCATTTGAAAGCCAGTATGCCATGTCTGTAGACAAGCATGGACTCGACAGACAGATATTTTAGTTCTCTATGACCAAGGGTGATGTGATCAAATTTACGCGAACGGGTTACGATCCTAGCTGCGAAGTTTTGAACATTCTGTAATTTATTGATATTCCTATTCATCAAACTAGACCAGACAGAAGAACAGGAGTAGAGTTTGCTAAAGACCAGTGCATTGATAAAGTTTGATAAAGTGTTTGTGTCTAAAAGATGTTTTACCAGGCTATTGATTTGACATTATAAACTCGACAAACAAGAAGATGAACTATTTTTTATGTTCATCAAAACTCAATGTAGCATCCATATGCACTCCAAGGCCCTTCGCCGAAGGAACCGGACGCCACTCTTTTGTAAATCCAGATCTCAAGGCGCATTTTGCAGCTTTCGACGGGTGCCAATTAAAAGCAATTTCGTTTTATGAGGGTTGATTCGAAGGCTAGTGTTTTGACTTCACCATGAGGCAACTTTCTTCAGGTCTTCGGTTATTTGTCGAGCTGCGCCATAGATGTCCTTGTCCTTAACTAAGAATGATATATGTAACTTGGAATCTTCCGCTACGTAGGATTCAAAGGAGCAGTATTTTGGAACGCCAAGCAAATCGTCGATGTACACATTAAATAAGGCAGGTCACAGAATGGGTCCTTGTGGACCTCCGTGTGTAGATTTACGCATTCCGAGCATTTCAGAGCCAATTCGTACGTACTGCTGGAAATCATGCATGTAGGTCATGTAGCTCTTAAACCATTCTAGATGAAGATTGGCAAAAAGCGAATTCACTTTTAAAGAGACGTTTTCGCTTCCGTCGTTGTCCTCGGATCTTAAGGTCCTTATTTTCAGAATAGCACTGCAAAATAAGGATCTTTTTTTCCGTCGGATTTATAGCCTGCTCGCTTTACTGTTCTTGGGCCACGAATTTAAGAGGAAAAAACTCGGTGTGTAACTTTCAGTACGGACAACGAACCCGTGTAGAAGTAAGAGACCGATTTATCTTCACGCTGGGACTGTGCATGTCACGAGGCTTATACTCTAACAGCGAAAAAACAAACAAACAAACAAACAACTACAAAAACAAACAATAAGGCTATATTCATGCTATACTGGATAGCTTTCAATGCTGACACGAAAAGCTCAGCCCAGCTTCGCTCCGTGACAGAAATCGCGCCGGAATCACCGTTCTTAAACAGAGCCCTATGCGTAATGGTTTCCGTGCCGGCGCAAAATCTATCCGGTATAGCGTAAACATAGCCTAATTGTTCCCAATGTTTAGAGCCAGAACTCTTCTAAAACTGTTGATAATCAGTTGCCTTTATCAATCGTCTATAAATATACAATAAATTTAAACATGCATTACCTATTCATCTCAGCCCAAAAAGTTAGACTTACTATCAAAGGAATGTTAAAAAATATATCCAAAACCACTATGAAAGGATCAGATCCGTTTTACTCATTTTAAAAACCTAAAAGGTGTGTCGGTATATCAAAGGCTGTTAATGGAATAGCCTGCGTTGTAGGCGTTTCCGCTCGAGTTATTGCACGAAAACTTGGAGCGAGAAAAAAAATGGTATTACAGTCAACTCTCTCTTAACGGACACCTCTATAAGACGGACACCTCTGTAATAAGGACACCTAGAGTTAGTCTCTGCTTTTCTTTACTCCTATTATTTGACTCTCTATAAGACGGACTTCTCTCTAAGACGGACACATGGTACTGGTCCCAAAGGTGACCGTCCTTGGGAGAGTTGACTGTAAACTCGAGCGGAAACGCTTGCTACACAGGTTATTACACTCTTATAGGACTGAAAGGCAATAGAACAGAGTATGGTACTAGGAATGAGTGGACTCCAATGTTTTCTCTTAATTGTACGAGTGATTAAATAACCCCGAGGGACTTCCGTATGAAAGTGACGGCGATGCACACCCTGGTAATAGACCTTATTCACGATATACCCGCCATCTTTGCTCGCGCTTAAGGATTGATAGGATAAAAGCAATGTCACGTGGTTTCTCAAGGGACAAACAATAGTATTTGATAAAATAAAATTTGCCAATTGAAGAAATCGCGGTCGAGTTTCTTTATTCTAGACAACGGGAAACGGATAACTTTTTACTTTTAAGACGCTACGGACAAGTTATGTGTGAAAGTGATCATTGTTACTTTTCTGGAAGCAGTAGCTACTGTACATGTCCTCACGGCATGCAGTAATGACCTAAAACTTGGCGAAACTCGAACTGTACGTTTTCTATGACTATTAAGTCGTCCTCACGTTTTGAGAGAATAAACAAACTCGACCGTGATTACTCGCATTGGTAGCCTGAGAAAACACCTATTTAAACTCCGAGGAACGCTCCCCAGCCGAGTCAACTCGGTGAAGGCGAGAGACCCCCAGAGCAAGTTTAGACAAAGACTGAACACAAAAGATTGGTAGTTTAATGGCTGAAACCCTACTTCAGACCAGAAATTATGAGCTCACCGCCTAGAGGAGGTTAGACTGATGGAGTGAAAACTGCTCCCACAATCCCGCAGTCGCCCGTGTTCAATTATGCTGGGCCCGCAGTCCCACGGTTCGGTAGTCGATGAATACTTAAATCTAAGTGAGTAAAACGACGTACGGCCTCCTACAAGGGTAATCCCTCACCGGGGCAGTCCTTTACTCCTCTCGAGTTTTTACCTGTATTTTAGCCTAATTCGAACATAGCCTGCCTGGTAGGCGTTTGGGGGAGGGAAAAGGAAAGTGAAAGCGAGCGAGAACGCGAAAGCCGCGCGGAGCGCGCGGGGAAGGAAAGAAGGGAGTCGACCCTTTCTTGCTTCCATGCGCGCCTCTCTTCCTCCCTAC